GGATTTACCACTCTACTCTCACAACCCACGTAGCTCATCATCAGTCCTCATTTCCTTTGCACGAATGTTAGAAGATGAAGGATTTTTCTTCTGTTTCAGGCCAACTCTTCCATCCATGCCTTTCCCTTGATGCCCTGTCCTTCCTGAGTCTTACTCTATGGGCCATCCCTTCCTTTGCCTACAACCCTGCCATTCTCTTGTGCCCTTTTCCTCAGTCTGGAAACATGACTGAGTCTCACATTCTAAGATCTGTAGGTCCCCACAGTAAATCTCCTCAATCTCCGTCCTCTCCTTACCATCCAAACTTCTCAAAATAGTTGGCTACATCCATACTCTCTGCTTGTTCATCTCACATTCCCTCTTCAACCAACCGCAGTCTGGATTCTGACCACACTGCTCTGCAGCAATTACTCTCACTAAGAGTATCTGTGTCATGTCAATTACATTTTATTCATCCTACTTTGCTTTTGTGCTGGATTTAACAATGTTGATTATTCTCCCCATTTTGAGCACTCTACTCCCATGACGCCAGACTCCTGATTACTTTTCTGACCTCTCCTTCCCTTCCTTGGGGCCTTTTTCCTGTGCCTTGGAGCGATCAGCTATACACACTCTTTGAGTTATATTTTCCAGGGTCATGGTTTCAATTTTCACCTTAACTATGATGTGTTCTCTGTTAATTAGCTCAGGCTGCCATAACAAATACCACAGACTGGGTGGCTTAAACAACAGAAATTTATTTTCTCACAGTTCTGGAGGCTGGAAATCCAAGATCAAGGCATCAGCAGGATTGATATCGTTCTGAGGCCTCTCTCCTTGGCCTGAAAGTGGCCGCCTTCTTGCCATGTCCTCACATGATCACCTCTTGGTCTGTGTCCTAATCACCTCTTTTTATAAGGACACCAGTAATATTGGATTAGGGCTCACCCATGTGACCTCATTTTACCTTAATTACCTCTTTAACACATTGACTGCCATACTAGAAAAAAAATGTTTTTCCCTCAGGCCATGGTGTTTTATTAAAGCAAAATGATCCTTTCTAATTTGTTATTTTTTATTGTTTTCTGTGTGTGAGTTACATGCAATGCAATCCACGTTTTTAGAATTAAATTGTCAATATTAAGTGTAACAATAAGAACATCAACAAGTAAGATTTTCACGAACCAACTGCAGGGTCTTGCTTCACGAGGTTCTGGGTTCAAAATTAGCCTGAGTTACACACAATTCACATGGCAGTCAGTGTGCTGAAGACCCTGTCTCCAAATACAGTGACATTCTGAGGTATGGGGGTTAGAACTTCAACCTATGAGTTTGGTGGGGGAGGACATATTTCAGCCTACGATATCTCCTAAATCTCTGTCTCCAGCTCAGATTTCTCCTTTAAGACTAGGACTATCTAATTGCCTATTGGACATTTCCAGTAGGATTTCCCACAGGAGACTGTTTAAAATTGAGCGAGGCATCTCTTCAATAAACACACACTTCCTACTGCGTTTCCCATTTCCACTGGTATTCACCCAGTCGGCCAAGGAGTTTTTCTTCGTTCCTCCTTTTCCCATCCATCTCCCACATATCCAATCAATTCCCAAATGCTACTCTTTGAACCTCTGAAGTACCTCTCAATTCTGTCCTTTTCCCTCCATCCCTACTGAGGCTGCCCTACTTCAAGCTGTCACCTTCTCTTGCTTTGATGATCACAACTCTTCTTGGTTTGTCTCTGTTTCCATTCTAGTCCCGAGTCCATGCCCCGTATAACTGACAGAGTATGAGATCTAAAACCCAAGCTTGCCCAT